TGATTCTATACAACTTTTGTTCTTTGAGCTTTGGTCAATTTGAATTATTTAAGCATAAAACGGTGCATTTTTATACTTCTTTAGCAAGTTACTTATGATTGAATTATACCCACCATATTTTTATTTTTATTTTGTGTATTTTATACTCAATTTATATTTCGTTGTGTACGAGCAAGAAATTAAATGCCATCGTATCTCGGTAAACTACTTATTCGTCTCAGTGCGAATAAAACTACTTGTCTTGTCCCGTAATAAGAATTAAATGTATTTTTGTTTGTGTCTAGTAGATACATGAGTGTTAAATTTTATACTCATACCAATATACCTGTATACTGACCCATTTTGTCTCTTAGCAACTAGGGTGCGTTCTGTTTGAGCGTAGCCGGGCTTCCTTTGCAGGAGTAGTTGGGGTTATGGTGGTGACAAGAAATAACTTTGATCATAGGACATGTCGTTTGGACTTCTTTTGTTTTCTTGAGCTTAGAGTTGTCTCTCTAGACTATGTCAAGTCTAAGGACAACATTGTGGATCCGCTAACCAAAGGGTTAACTCGAGAGTTAGTAGAAAAATCGTCAAGAGGAATGGGGTTAAGGCCTTTAGTAAAGGTTACCAGAACGGAAAACCCAACCTAGTTGACTGGAGATCCCAAGATCTAGGTTCAAAGGAACAACCTAACTTTGTGTAACAGGTGAGTCACTGAAGAGGTAAATCCTCTTGCCCATTCCTTTATACAGTGATGCCCTGTGAGGGTGGAAGGTTAAGCTAATGCTTTTAATGACCTTAGTGATGTGGTATAATGAAATACCGTATCTAGGTCACCTATGTGAGTGTGAAGTGAGGCCGCTTCTTTAAGAATTGCCAAGGCCGAATTCTTTAAAAACACTCACAGAACCAGGCTAGTGTTCCAAGGCCATACCGGACACACTAGTGAGAACAAGAACAATGGTTGGACTAACTCCTATGTGAGGTCTATTGTCTCAGTTTACATAAATGGTAGAATAGTTCAAGACATCACGTTCACTAGTCAGCCAGTAAATCCGATAGGCTTTCACTACGAAAGGTTCAAGGCCAACAACTACCTTTTCTGATACAAGGTTAGTCTATGTACTCTCTCTCTCTCTGAGTCTTTGTTGTAAACGTTGTCCCTTTTTTTTATTCGGTCAATTTTTATTCATGTAGGGGATTGTTGGAAAAAATGAGTTTTTGGTAACTTTACTGTGAAATTGAAGTAGGTCCCAACCATTGGTTGAGGTGAGATTAAATGGGTTTAGATTCTTTGTAACAAGGTCTTTATACCACAAGAAGAATGACCAAAAGCTATTAAGAATTGAATGAGAAATTGACTAACTAAGTTAGCCTCATGAAAGAGGTGTTGGGAAAGGTGGCTGCAGGATTATACACAATATACATGTGTATAAAACCTGGTAACTCCTTTGTATTCATGATGGATTAAAACCATCAATTTTGCAATTTATGTATTGGGTGTTTTGCAAAATTAAAACCTGCATTTGTTGCAGGAGCCTTTTCCTCTCTCCCTCCATGTGTATAAAAAAAGACACTCTCCTTCATTCTTCTACACCAAAAAGTTTGCTCTCCCTTTGTGTTCAATGTTTTCCTCTAGAATTTTTATTCTTCTTGTGTGAGAGAGTGCTACCATTGTCGGTTCGCCAAAGCTAACAGAAGGTGCTTCTACGTTAGCCGATCTAAACCATCGTATCTTGGGAGACAAAAGTCGACGTACCTCCAACACCCACGATGAGGCAGCTAATCTATTTTAAAGACACTGTGGTATTACACAGGCTTCGATTTGTGCTTTCTTTACCATTTTATTGTATTGTGTATTTCTGTGTAATATCATTGTAAATTCCAACATATTTTCTTAGTCTGAAATTTAATTTGATTAATCATGAATCTATTTATCTTAGTTAATCACATTAATTTGTACAACAAAATCAATGATATATAAACAAAAAAAATTCATACAAAATTTATATATATAATGATGTGGAATATAGATCATTCACCTAAAAAAAAATTATTTATTTACTAAAATGGCATTGCCATATCATTATTGTCATATTTTTTTTATGAGTATTATGCATGAATAGCATTTTCTTTCTAAATTTGGTCAAGACTTACAAAAAAAATTATCCACTGCAGCGTTTAAATTCAGTCACCAGCCAAGCATTCCGATATTATAAGTCACAAATTTTCTATCACATAATTGATCAAATATTTCACATGGGTGTGAGATTTACAAAATTACGGATCCCACACCAGTGTGAGATATTTGGTCATTTATTTAGTAAAAAAGTTAGTATCCCTACTATTATGTATTTACAACTTTTAACTTTTAGTTTTATCTATAATCATATTATTTGAAAAATATATCAAATTTTATAATTAGAAACAATATTTAAGCATATTATATCCCATAATAAAAATTTAAGTATTTAATGTTTTTTATTATTAAACTTTTAGCATCAAAATATTTACATACTAATCTTTTAAAACCTTTCAAATTTTCAATACAAATTTTTTAGTGAATTTAAAATTTAAAATTACATTTTTTTAATATTTATAAATTACATATTCCTGTTTTAAGATTAAAATTATTGTAAATTAATTTTGAAAACTAAGTAATATGCGTATTTATCTTATTAAATGTATTCAAATACAAAGACAATGAATATTCAAACAGAAAAATCAATAAACACAAAATAATTATTTTTTCCATATAAAGAAATTTATATGCATTTAAATAAAATAAAGGAGTAGACATATGTATAACAAGAAAATTGCAAAATAAGTTAGGAAAGTTTAAGGGAAAATATCACATCAGTGGTGTTTTAAGAAAATAATTACGAATCAATGAAAAAATTTATAAATATTAATAATTATAATTATAAAAAAAAATTATGACTTGCACTGGGGTATAATTACCCCAAAGTTTAATATATGTTTACTAAATGTTTCGAATTAAATTGCTTAAATTAAAAATAAAAATTGGTATACTAAATATTTTTATATCTTTACTTATTTGAAGAAAAAATTATGTGATTACCACAAATAGGATTGTGGGTTTGATTACCACAAATTTTGTGATTGTATTATGAGAAATATTTATCTTATCAAATAGGATTGTGGGTTTGACTACCACAAATGTGATTACTCAATTCTACGGGAATCATAATTATAAAAAAAAAAAAGTTATAACTAACTTCACAATAAACTATAATCAAAGATCACAAAGGTAGTGACTACAAGTACATATGGTACACATCTTATTTTTTCATAACATTCACCATGTTTGGTTCCAGAAAATTTAATTCATTTTTCAGAAAATTAAGTTTTTTTTAGTTTTTGCACTTTTAGTGAAATTTTTTAATATTTTACACAAGTTTTATTTTATTTTTTAGATACACTTAATCTAAATACACTTAAAAAGTAAAATATTTGTGAAAAAATTTTCCCAAATACAAAAAAATATAAAAATTCAATACATTTTCATATTTTGTTGTATTTAATTAATTTTTAAATGATTTTTGTACAATTTATTTACTTTTTAAGTAAATTAAGATTAAGTGAATCTAAAAATTAAAAAAAAAAATTGATTAAAATATTTTAAAAAATCATTAAAAATATAAAAATATGAATTGAAAACTCAAAATAATATTTTTGAAAAATGAAAACCAAACATAATGTATATTCATTAGTTAAAATAATTAAATTAAATTTTTTTTATTAATTTTAAAAAAAATTAATGAATATTAAATAATAAATAATGTGAAATAATACTCCTACCTCAACAATTGAGTTATTTGGGATGATCTAAGTTGTCATTCTATAAAAAGTTTTCAGCAATGATAGAGGCCCGAATTTCCCAGGCTCGAATGGCTCGAATTGACACAAAACGACGTCGTTTTGGACACAAAACAACACAAAATAACGTCGTTTTGGTCAATTCGAGCCATTTGAGCCGCGAATATTGTGGCCACCAAGCATTTTTCAAAAGTTTTTTAGTTGGATTTTTAGAGTTAAAGATTTTTTTAGTTTGAGATTAAAAGGTAAATTTGGTTGATTTTTTTTTTATGAGAAAAAAATAAAATTATTATAATTTAAATGTAATATTTTATTTTAAGAAAAATTACAAACACACCCTCTAAAATTTACTTAAATTACAAATTACCCCTTGTGATTTTAGAAATTACATTATGCCCTTGAGATTTCTAATTTCATATCAAATAGGTCTTTTATTAATAAATCATCAAGTTAATTAATAGTTTTTAATAATGTTAAAATTTTATCTCAATTAATAATTCAGATAATTTTATTATTGTATATAGGTGAATAGTTAGAAATTTTATTTTTTCAATTAATTCTGTTAAATAAAAAATTCTAACAGGGAGGTATTTGTGATTTTCTAAACCACATAGAGCAATTCATATTTTAAGCAAACATCAAGAAGTATATTTGTAATTTACCCTTTATTTTATTAATTTTTTAATTTATTTTATCTTTTAATGACTAATTTAGTCCTAATCCAACCCAACCCAACCCACATAATCAAATAAAACCTAAATAAATGTACATTTTAATTTTTTACAAAAATATAGAATAAAAAATAATATAACCTAAATAAATATACTAATTTAAGAGATGCCAATCAACTCAAATTAAAATTGCGGGCTGCAGAATTTAAAATCAATCGAGTCACTCAAAAACAAGTCAATAATGTTTCGCATGAATGTTTGGGTTGAGTTTAGGTTATTTTAGTTATAAAAAGGTAATATAAATTTTTTTATTTAATAAAATTATTTTTTCTCTCACAAAAATTTTAAATAATAAAAAAATTATTTTAAATAAGAATTTTTAACCCTAAATTAAAAAAAAATCAAAAAAATAAAAAAGCAAATCCACAACCCCAAGCGAAGGCAATGTCAAGACTAGCAAAAACAACACGACACCCATTTCATTTCATTTATAAAAACAAACAAATACAAAATCAAAAAACTCAATGCAGTGACAGATAAGGAACCTCAAAGCAATACTCAGCTCAGCACAAGCGCACAGAGAGAGAGAGAGAGAGAGAGAGAGAGAGAGATTGAATTGAATCTCCTATCCTATGGCTAACCTGAGAACGGCGATCGACTCGGGGTTTTGGGACCTGAACATAGCGACTCCACAAAGCCTACTAGAAGGTTCGGCGCGGTGCGTCCCAGGCGAGCCCTTCCCTCTGGACGGAGCGAGAGCCAGCAGAGCCCTCAGAATCCAACAACTCTCTCTCTTGGGAAATGGGTTTCCTCTCGGAATCATACCCTCTTTCTCTCCCACCTCTCCCAAGGAATTGGGTTCTTTCTCTCTCCAGTCTCTCTTCCTCAATCAAGATTTCTCCAACTGGTAATAACTCAATTTCACTCTCTATCTACATTTTACATAATTTGATTATATGTATGTCTGTATAGTGGAGTAGCCAACAATTTTATTGTCTAATCTTTAGTTCTACCCAACTTATCAGAATCAATTTTCACCTGAATATAGTGTACTTTCATATATTCCCAATCACATCCACAAAGATAATTGGGTTAATTACACTTTTTACCCCTATATTTTGATTAATTGAGCAATTGTAGCTTCATTTTGATCATTCCTTTCAAATTAAAGGTTAAAATTAACAATTTTGAAATATTTGTCAATTTTTTTAAAGTGTACATGTAGACAAAGTTAACAAAAATTTAGATGGAATGACCAAATTGAAACTGCATTTAAACTGTAGAGAACAAATTGTTAAAATTAAAATAATAGGAACTAAAAGTGAAATTTGGGCCAAATTATAAGGGTGAAAAGTGTAATAAACCCAAAATGGGACACTCCGATGATGAAGTTAGAATCCATGAATGAAAAGTATAGATAATCAAGAGTGTTCTGTGTGAAGTGCAGAGAAAGATCATACCTATATGCCATGAGGTGCCTTCCTTTTATAGACGAGGGTGGGCTGAATAAGCCCAATAGTTGGCCCCTTGGCAGGCCTCGTTTGGGTTAGCCCAATAAGTTGATAGCTATTATTTTCTGGCTCCCACAACCTTGTATGAATTTTTAGGAAAGGCCAAAAGCCCTTGTATAAATTCTACAAATATGGAAGTGTTGTGCAAAAGGAGGTAATACTTAAACCCAAAAGGGTTAGGATAAGCCTAAAAATCCGTTGACTTTGTATTCAACGATTATGCACAATATAGCAGTGCATATCGATTTCTTGTGTTAAGTCTGCTATTTCCAAATATACACAAGAATACTATCATGGAATCCAAAACTTTGAAAATGTATTATCTTGTCGTATCCAAGAAAGGGTTCTGAGTTCCATGAAAGAGGTTGAAGGTGACAATGATCACATAGATGATCAAGCTGAGGAAGTAGATAAGCCAAGAAGGGGTAAAAGGGCTAGGACCGCAAAGTCCTTTGGTCTAGACTTCTTAACTTATATGTTAGAGGGCGAACCTCGAACTTTCTATGAAGCTATGACTTTATCTGAAAGTCCTTTGTGGAAAGAAGCAATTAAGAGTAAGATTGACTCCATCTTACAGAACCATACTTGGGAGTTTGTTGATCTACCCCCAGACAGTAAGGCCTTAGGGAACAAATGGATCTTTAGAAGAAAGATGAAAGCAGATGGATCAATTGATAAGTATAAAGCGAGGCTAGTTATCAAAGAATACAGACATCAAGAAGGCCTGGATTACTTTGATACGTATTCACCTGTGACAAGGATTACATCCATTCGCATGGTGATTGCGATAACAGCTTTACGTGGTTTGGAGATGCATCAGATGAATGTAAAGACAACGTTCTTAAATGGAGATTTGAATTAAGAAATCTACATGGAGTAACCCGAGGGATTTTCAGCTCCAGGACAAAATAACAAAGTCTGTATGCTTGTCAATTCGTTGTATGGTTTGAAGTAAGCTCCTAAACAATCGCATGAGAAGTTTGACAATGCTATGTTGTCAAATGGTTCAAAATCAATGTGTGTGACAAATGTGTATATGTCAAAAATACTACCAGAGGTTATGTCATTTTGTGTCTATAAGTTGATGACATACTCATTGTTGGTTGTAATGACGAGATGATTAGAATATCCAAGAGATTGTTAAACTCCAAGTTTGACATGAAAGATATGGGCCTTGCAGGTATAATTCTGGGTATTAAGATTACCAGAACATCTAGTGGTATTGTACTTTCTCAGTCTTACTATGTTGAGAAAATACTTGAGAAATTTAGTAAATTAGATACACGTGTGTCTAGGACATCGGTAGACGTGAGTCTACATTTGATGAAGAATAATGGTGTGAGTGTCTCTCAGCTAGAATATTCTCGGGTCATTAGAAGTTTGATGTATCTGATCAATTGTATAAGGCCGGATATAGCCTACTCTGTTAGCAGGCTTAGTAGATACACAAGTAATCCGAATGCTACTCATTGGAGGTGCATTATGCAGGTGTTAGGTTATCTATGTTACACCCGGGATTATGGGCTGCATTATACTAGATACCCAGCGGTACTAGAAGGGTATAGTGATGCAAATTGGATATCTAATATAAAGGACTCCAAATCCACTAGTGGTTATGTGTTTACCCTTTGAGGGACACTCGTGTCTTGAAAATCTTCTAAGCAAACATGTATATCGAAATCAACGATGGAATCTGAGTTTATTGCTTTAGATAAAGCAACTGAAGAAGCTGGATGGCTTCGCAAGTTCATTAAGGATATTCCATGTTAGCCGAGGCCTGTGCCTGCTATCTGTATTCCATGTGATAACCAATCGGCGATTGGACGGGCAAAGAGTCATATATATAATGGAAAGTCAAGACATATCCGTCGTAGACATAATTTCATACAACAACTACTCTCTAATGGAGTTGTCTCTCTAAACCATGTAAAGTCTAAGGACAACATTGCGGATCCGCTAATCAAAGGATTAACTCGAGAGTTAATAGAAACATCGTCAAGAGAAATGGGGTTAAGGCCTATAGTGATGTTACCGAAATAGAAAACCCAACCTAGTTGACTAGAGATCCCAAGATCTAGGTTCAAAGGGACAACCTAATTTTGTGTAACGGGTAAGTCACTGAAGAGGTAAATCTTCCTACCCGTTCATTTATGCAGTGATATCCTATGGAGATAGAAGGTTAAGTTAATGCTTTTAATGACCTAAGTGATATGAATAATCAACTGTGGTATAATGAGATACCTTATATAGGTCACCTATATAAGTGCGAAGTGGGGACGCTTCTTTAAGAATTGATAAAATCGAATTTCTTAAATACACTCACTGAACCAGGCTAGTGTAGCGACCCTAATTTTTTGTAGGTCATTATTTATTTATTATTACTTTATTTTATGTTTGGTTTTATTAATTGTGTGATTACATGAGAATTTAATATGGTATTTAATTAATTTAATGTGATATTTAATTATATATAATTAATCTAAATATTTATATATATTGTATATATGTATATAAAAGGTGTTTTATATATATGTATATATATGTGTTGACCACATATAGTATATTTATATATATTGTATTTGTATAATATAATATGTTGCCAATTAGGTTATAACTAATAGAGGTAATCACTTAGAGAGAAAAAAAAAAAAGAAAGAAAGAAAAGAGAGAACAGCCGAGTGTGAGAGAAAGAGAGAAAAAGAGAGAGAGAGAGAGAGAGAGAGATTAATCAAAAAGAAAAGAGAGTGCAACAGAGAGAGACGGCGGAAGAGAGAAAAGAGAAAAAAAAAAGATTAGGGTTTTATTTTGGTGGCTCTATTAATTTTTCAAGTGATTTTTTTTATCTTCAAAAATAATTGTGAGTACAAAACCCACTTTCCTTAATTTATGTTTAATTCGTTATTTTTATTTATTTATTTGATGTTGAATTGATTTTATATTTGCATGTAGATGATTGATCAATTTTAATTATTTTGATTAGTTGTGTATGCCAAGTTTAAGGTTTTTATATGTATTTATTTTGTGGTTGTAATCACACTGATGAATATATGAAATTAAAATAAATTAGAAACTCCTAGATAAATTCCTTATACTCTACCATAACTCCATGGATTGTTGTTTTATTTGAGTATTGGTAAGAAAAAATGTATAAAAAAAATGTGAGAATTATGAGATTTATTTGAATGCCTTAGGCTTGACATTGTTATGTTTGTTCTCATGAGTAGATGAGAGATTGTGTATATATATATATATATTGTTGCCTCATTTTCATGAGTAGACGAGTGATTTGATTTACGTGCGTACGTATATGCTAACCATCCGGGGAGTGTGGATCAAACTCGGGACGATATCGCCGTGCAAGTTTAGCTTCGAAGCAATGTTAAGTATACGGGAGGCACATGAGATATATGTGTAGGCCAAAAGTGAATGGCCAAAGTAGTGGAGTTAAGGTACAAATAATTAAATATGAACTTATATGTATAGTTTGAATTGTATTGACTTGTACATCCTGAAAAATAGTAAACGACCTCGATAAATTATGAAATTTGAGCAGAAGCATGTATACGTGATTCTAGACAACTTTTGTGTTTTAACTTTTTATTAAAAAGATCGATTAGAACTTATAATCGGATGATCTTGGTTACAATAGTTTTTATTCATTTTAGCAATGCAAATTTTAGAGGCTATTTTAACTCACGAAACAAGCTCATTCTTATTGGTTTCATGTAAATTGAAGTAAAACATTATTCTGAACACTTTTTATGTTTTGAACATTTCTGCAAAAAAATTCATCTTATAGCAGTTTCTTTTCGTTTTCAGTTTTAGATTTTTCGATCGAATTTTGTTTAGGATTTTCTATTAAGTTTTTCTCTCAACCTGTTCAGTTTTCACTAAATTTGTTTGCGTTGTCTTTTATAAAATTTAATTCTGTACAACTTTGGTTCTTTGAGTTTTGGTCAATTCAAATTATTTAAGCATAAAACGGTTCATTTTTATACTTCTTCAACAAGTTACTTGTGATTAAATTATACTAACTTTATTTTTTTTGCAGGATGGTGGGTATTACGAATTTTTTATGCAGGCCTGACTCACCATGTTTTATTTTTATTTTGTTTATTTTATACTCAATTTATATTTCGTTGTGTATAGGTAAGAAATTAAATGTCACCGTATCTCGGGAAATTACTCATTCATCTCAGTGCGGATGGAACTACTTGTCTTGTCCCGTAACAAGAATTAAATGTATTTTGGTTTGTATCTAGTGGACATGTACGTGTTAAATCTTGTACTCATACCAGTATACCTGTATACTGACCCGTTTTGTCTCCTGACAACTCGGGTGCATTCTATTTGAGCGCAACCGAGCTTCCTTTGCAGGATTAGTTGGGGTTACGGT